GGGAAGGTACTGATTATTGTTGAATGAATGAATTAAATTTAAAGGACCGTTTCCCTTGTAATCTACATTTTTCTAAGTGGCAACTCTAATCTTGTCATTGCCCCAAGAAAAATCTTGAATATTTCATCTCTCTCTCTCTGATTCCATTTCCAATCTATGAGCAAATCCTGTTGCCTCTTTCTTTTTTTTTAATGTTTTATTTATTTATCTTTAGAAGGGAAGGGAAGGAGAGAGGGAGAGAAACATCAATGTACGGTTGCACGTTATCATGCATCTCCCGCTGGGACCTGGCCCGAAACCCAGGCATGTGCCCTGACTGGGAATCGAACCTCAATCCTTTGGTTTGCAGGCCCCCGCTCAGTCCACTGAGCCACACCAGCCAGGGCTGTTGCCTCTTTCTTCATATGCTATTCAGTTCAGCCACTTGTCTCCACTATGACCTTAGTCCAAACCACAATAAACTGTTGACTGGATTATCTTCAGAGCCTCCTAACTGGTGTCCTGCTTACTCTTTTGTCCCCTTCAGTCTGTTTTCCACACAAGAGCCAATGTGACTGTGTTAGAACATGAGTAAGAGCATATTATTTCTCTGTTCAAAGCCTTCTAGTTGTTTCCTGTCTTGCTCAGAGTAAAAGCCAGAGTCCTTGCCTTGTCCTATAAAGTGCAGTAGGACCTGGCCCTCCTGGTGCTCTCTTCACTCACACCACTGCAGCCACACTGCCTCCTTCTCCCAAACACTCGCGGCATGTTTCTGCCTCAGGGCCACGTACCTGCTATTTCCTCTGCCTAGGAACTCCATGGCTCACTCCCTCACCTCCTCTAACATCTTTCTCCTAAATGGCCATAATTTCTGAAATAGACATCCCAATAATGTACTTAAATTTTCTCCTTAAGCCCTGACTGGCATGGCTCAGTTGGTTGGGCGTCATCCGAAAAGTGATAGGTCACCAGTTCGATTCCTGGTCAGGACGCATGTCTGGATCGCAGGTTTATTCCCAGTCAGGGCATGTATGAGAGATAACTTATTGAGGTTTCTTTGTCACATCGATATTTCTCTCCCTCCCTTTCTCTCTCTCTTTCCCTCTCTTTAAGTAAGTAAAATCTTTAAAAATTTTTTTTCTCCTTAAGCCTATCCTCTAACATTCTACATATTTTACTTATCTTGTCGTCTTATACCATTAGAATGTAAGTTTCATGAGAACAGGGATTTTATTTTTATTAACTCCTGTATTGTCAGCACCTAGAACAGGGATGATCACATACTAGACATACAATATATATTTGATGAGCAGACTGTGAATGAAGGACTTGTGGGAAGGGACTGACTATACTTGATCTGTGTTACCCAAAGGATTTGGGCCAGGATCACAGTACACACGAAGTCATTTCAGAATTGCTAATTCATACCTCAGGTGAAGATAATTTAACTGGCTTATTTCATATATATTTCCAGTTGTTTAAGAAGATAGGTTTACTATCAATGAAAATAAAATTTCTAACAGCTCTTATGAAAAATGGATTATTGGGGTGAGAGCGACTTTCTGTCTTTGAAATTTTCAAAAATAAAGTGAATAATCACTTGGTGATTGAATTAGAACAGTGGTTCTCAACTGAGGCTAATTTGACCCACAAGGAACATTTGGCAAATCTCTGGAGACGTTTTTGGTTGTCACAACTGGGGGGTGCTGCTGACACCTAGTGGGTAGAGGCCAGGGGTACTGCTAACCATCCTAGACAATAGCACTAGCCCCCACATACACCCCCAAATAAGACGTAAGAATTGTCTGGACCAAAATGTCAGTAGTGTCACAGTTGAGACCCTTGGTCAAATGAATTTCTGAAGGTAGGCATTTCCTTGGAAATGCATTTACTTTTATGAGTTTTAAACTTCTTATAATATGTTTTTATATCTTAATACCTATGCCTTCTTACAATAATAGAATAGCTTTTCCTTCCTGCTCTGAGCCCTATCATCGTATTATAGTCCCTCTAGAAATAAATTTCATTATTTCCAAGGGAAACTAGGAACAGTACAGGGGTGAACAAAAGTAGGTTTGCAGTTGTAAGTACACAAAATGATGTTTATTCTTATATTAGAATTATAACTTGCATGTCTTTTTCCATGCAAACAACTGTAAACCTACTTTTGCCAACCCCTGTATTTTCAAATTCTACTTGAAACTTAGAAATTTATTTTATTTATTTATTTTCACAGACGTAAGCCTATATGGCTTGATACCTTGGGGAAGAATTTGGGGAAAGAACCTTGCAGATAACTTAAATGAAGAAGATATCATTTTTATGAAACTGGGATTTTTACAAGTTACTTTTTGAATGACAGTGATGTTATCATTGTCGTGACAGTTTATATTCATTTCCTGTCCTCCAGTGTTAATTCTGGTAAGGCAGATTTGTTCTTTTTTTCTATCTAGTTGCATTCATTCAATCCACAGATGGTGGATTTGTGGCCTTCATCTGCCATTTTCTTGTATCAGTGGTTATTGTGTACATTTCCCAGAAGTACATAGTCAGTTAACATACTTCGTTGTTGTTTTCTCTCCTTACCAAGGAAGACTCGCTGCTAATAAAACTATTTGTTTTGAAGATTTCAGAAGTAAATAGCTGTGTTCTGATTATTCCTTGAGTCAGTGAATAATTTTAGTGAGTGGGTTCAGTTACTATTTTTCATCTCTTAATTTTGGTTCTGTTTTCCCAGAAATGATTTTTTCCAAAAAAATAAATAGGATCATTCAAACTGGAAGGAAATCAGTTTCCTGTCATTAAGCAGGTAAAGTATTAGTATTCCCATCTTAGAGCTGAAGTAATAGCCACATCTTGAAATTAGAAAAAGAATTTCCACGTAGCCTCATAAATAAGCAAGTAACATTCTTTATCCTTCAGCCTTATTGTTCAGTTAGTAAGAGTTGGAATTGCTCATCATGGCCATTTATAGTTGTTTTTCCAAAATGAAATGCTGTGCTCTGCTTGATAACAAAGGTTGTAAGTTTCTAGCAAAGTTTTGGATCCTCAAGCATTTTGAGTGTCTTTTCCCAGAACTCATCAAGTTATAGTGTTTAAAAAATCTGTATCTATTTTGACTTAGATGATGAACACAGTACTTGAACTTCTCAGATAAAAAGCTTTGAAATACAAAATGTTCTTACAAGGATTCTATGTTCTCTTTAAATGATGTAGTACATTTTTGTACTTGAGATTGTTTGTAGTATCCTCTCAGTCTTTCAACTCAACCAGTAAAGGGTATATGAAAGCAGAATTTTATATAATGGTTAAATCTGAATCTTGGCCACACTGCCTGACATGTTTTGTATATATCTACTTCTTGAATAGAACATGAAGGAAATTTTGATTTCTAAAGAATTTACTTAATGAGCAACCTATTTCATTTGTTTAGAAAGGTATGTACCCTGTTTCTGTCTATACTATCCATTGATGCTTGTAATCTCTGGCTCCAAGCTCTCCTGTCATCATCTTTTTTTTTTTTTTTTTTTAAGGTAGTCTACTCAGTAGCACTTTCTGGTTTGGTTTTTCTGGCTGTTGATTTTTCTGTTAACTGATGTGTGCTTTGCACTGAATAGAAATACACTACAAAGTCTGGGCAAATGGGCTTGTATTGATAATTCTATCTTGGCTTCTTGGGCACTAGTGCTTTTTAAAAATGAGACTAGCAAGAATCTCTCAGTAAGACTTACTCAGATTATGATCAAAGCCTCAAGTGACAATGTATGAATATATTGAGTCAGCTAAAGATGACTCTTTGGTGTGTGTGACTATAAAAATATGACAGACACACTCATAAAATTACTTAATAATGTCTTTTTTTTGAGAAATGTATTCTCATAATCTTCCTAAGAGAGTTAGCAAAACATTTTACTTTTGCAACTGTATGCAACAAATGAAAACAATTTTAATCTCTTGGCTGTTGTACAAGCTTGTTCTTGGTTAGGCTATGTTTTTTGTGTGGTATATTATTTCTCATGTTGTGTTTCAATGACTTATAGTAAAAGAGATTTCTCTTCCTTAGGACTGCATCTCTTGGTTCTTCACAGCGTGGCTAGCACCAGATAGTTCCATTGTATGGTTGTTGGCTGAGTTTGTTCATTGGTTCATGTGTTTAGTATTTATTTAACAAATATTTATAAAGTATATACTATGTGTCAGGTACTTTGTTACAACTGTCTGGTTTGTTTGTTTTAATCATTTCAGGACTGATGGGGAATGTATTAATATTTCAAGATGGTGTTAAATTGGGAACATGTGTTTTCAAAAAAGAAGCACCTGGCTCATTTTGTTGTTCCACTCTGAGGCAACCTTGGGTGGGCCAAGGTCCCCATCCTTGAACTTGTAAGGATCATGATGCTTGCAAAGCTGTTTCAGGTGTTTTGTGACAGTTCATAACTAACGCTTGCCGCCTGCCTGTCCTAATTCCTTAAGTGATGAGGAACTCTTCTACAGTCCTCTAGTCTAGTCCCTGTTGGAGCACTTTCCAAAGTCACCACTTCTTCCTACTTATCACCCATTATACCAGGTCCATACTCACTTAAAACCATGTGAGCTACTTATAGGACAGTTGTAAATTGTATGTTTTATCTGATGTTGTCATGGACTTAGCATGTGATCAGTAAGACACATCTCTCAAAGGTGTTTTTGAAAAATTGAATTTAAAATTTTATCAGAATTGCTACTGTATCATAGATTGCCTCCTGTTATACAAATTAGGAAACTTACTACTCTTCTCATGTGGAAAGATACTACTGCTAGGCATTCTACTATCAGCAAGGCTTCTGAATTGCTTTTAACAGTAGTGGCTTGTGTTGTTCCCTGGCCCAAAGAGACACCTTACCTTAGGTCTCCTAGTAGGTCGGGGCAGAAGTATAAATGGAAGTATAAATGGAACAGAAGTATGTAGCTTTTATATAAGACAACAAAGCTTAAAAGGTTACATTTTGCTTTCCCTTTGTCTCTCTCTTTTCTTTTTAAAGGAGTGGTGAACGTATTGCTGACAACTCCACTCTGGGTGGTAAATACCAGACTGAAGCTGCAAGGGGCAAAGTTTAGGAATGAAGACATTGTACCAACCAACTATAAAGGTATTATCGGTAAGTATTTCTTGGTGAGTTTCTGTTTAAGGGTTTTCTTTATTCTTTGTATCTGGAATTTATTGCTAAAATAATGCTGTATAAAGATAACTTTAAATCTCAACATTCAATAGTAAGCATTTCTTTAGCTCATGTGTTTGTGGATTGATAGGGATTTGGCTCATCTAGGCCGTCCTCAGCCTGGGAGTCTTGGCTCCATATGTCTCATCATCTTTCTGAGACCAGCTTGAGCATATTCTTTTCTTATTGATGGCGATGCACAAGAGGACACACCCAATTGTGCAAGCATATTTCAAGCCCCTGTTTGCAACTTGTCTGATAACATGCTCTTGTCCAAAGCATAGCACATGGCCAAGCCCAAAGACAAGGGGTAGAGAAGTAACTGCTACCATGAGTGTGGATGGGAAGGGTGAATATATTATTTATTTATTTTTAGAAAGAGAGGAGGGAGACAGAGACAGAGGGAGAGAAACATCAATGTGTGGTTGCTTCTCACACACTCCCCACTGGGGACGTGGCCTGCAACCCAGGCATATGCGCTGACTGGAAATCGAACCGGTGACCCCTTGGTTCTCAGACTGGTGCTCAATCCGCTGAGCCACACCATCCAGGGCAGCTTCTGCTTTTTTTTTTTTTTTTAATATTTTATTTATTTACTTTTAGAGAGAGGGGAAGGGAAGGAGAAAGAGTGGGAGAGAAACATCAATGTGTGGTTGCCTCTCGTGAGTCCCCTGCTGGGAACTGGCCTGCAGCCCAGGCATGTGCCCTGACTGGGAATCGAACCGCGATACTCTGGTTCGCAGGCCCGCGCTCAATCCACTGAGCTATGCCAGCCAGGGCAGCTTCTGCTTTTTAATAGTATCACACTGCCGGCTTCTTTGCCATGTTTGTGATGAGAACATTGATTTTCTTATAAAAGATTGATAGTCTGATAAAACAGATTCCAAGTAACTATCTTACTTTTTGTTTCACTGGCCTTTGTTGTGAAACACATGGGCTATCAGTTCACAAATTTCTGTAATACAGAGTTCCCAGTGGTGCTGATAATTACTTAGGAAAGCTTGACATTCTGACCCCAGATTTTCGGAAGGAGTTCTCTATGATTGAAGTTGTCTCTCAATAACTTGGTGACTATCAGTGTTATCATTACAAGATAGGACCATGTGGTTTCTATTCTGGATACATTTGAACAGAATTCACCTTGTCTTCTATAGTTAAGGGACTGTAATCACATATCCTTGATTTCTTGCTTAGATGCTTTCCACCAGATCATTCGAGATGAAGGAATCTTGTCTTTATGGAATGGCACATTTCCCTCCTTGCTGTTGGTCTTCAATCCTGCTATCCAGTTCATGTTCTATGAAGGTTTAAAACGGCAGCTTTTAAAGAAACGAACAAAGGTAACCCCTGATTTTTTAAAATGTTTTTATTAAAAATTTTTATTTATTTATTTTTAGAGAGAGGGGAAGGGAGTGACAAAAAGAGGGAGAGAAACATTGGATGAGAGAGAAACAGTTTTCTCTCACACTCCCCCAACTGGGGACCTGGCCAACCACCCAGTCATGTGCCCTGACTGGGAATCGAACCAGCAACCTTTTGGTTTGCAGGCCAGCACTCAATCCACTGAGCCACACCAGCCAGGGAGAAGGTAGTCCCTGATTTTGGAAGCAGCAAATAGTAATCTCTTGCTCTTGTTGTTTGGAATGACATGGTTTGTCTTTCTTTGCTTTCCAGCTTTCTTCTTTGGATGTGTTCATCATTGGTGCAGTAGCCAAAGCAATTGCCACCACAGTCACCTATCCCTTGCAAACAGTACAGTCAATTCTGAGGGTGAGTGCTGGGGATTTTTCCTGCATTTAGTCAAATGACATTATAAAATGCATGATTTCTTTATTTAAAGCAATGTTAATATTAATAAAGAAATAAAGAAATAGAGTAATCAGTTGGTAGGCCAGAGCATTCCTCATTCTTTTTTTTTTGTTTGTGTTATAGTCTGCTAACCATCCTGGCTATCAGTTGGTTTCCTGTTTGGTTTGGAAGGAAGTTTACATTTGCAGTTTTTAGTGTCTCAGAAAACCTAATTATGGCAAAAGGTTCTTAAAAGACTCAGGAAAGTATAAGTTTGCTTCTTTCTCATTCAGGTTGATTTCCTTAATACCCTAAGGCAGATCATCCTTTACAAAACCTGAGATTGATTCCTTTAGTTTAGTCCAGAGCAACTAATGATTTTACTTTGCTTTTTTGGAACACTTTTAGATTTCTGGATTACTTACTAAGTTATTTATTGAAATGTTTATTAAGTACCCACTCTGTGTGAAAAGCTAGGTACACATGATAAATAAAATACTCATAATCCCTGCCTTTATGGAAGTAACTGAGGAAAGAATTAACAGGTAAATAAGCAAAATAAATAAATAATTACAAATTGAGAAGAGCTACAAAGAAAGTAAGTAGCTTTCTGTGACTTAGCAGAAAGGTGCATAGTGGGGATCTTCTTAGATATCTAGGATAATTGGGAATGGGCTTCTCCAAGGAGGCGTATGTAAATCAAGACTTAAAGGGAAGCCCTGGCTGAGTAGCTCAGTTGTTTAGAGCATCATCTAGATACACCAGGGTTGTGGGTTTGAGGCACATGAAAGATCAACCAATGAATGTATAAATTAGTGAAACAACAAATCATTGTTTATCTCTCTCTCTCCCTCCCCCTTTCTTTCTCTATCTCTAAAATTCAATAAAATTTTTTTAATTGAAGAAAAAGATTTACATGATGATGAGGACCCAGCTGTGCAAATAGGTAGAGGGAACATGATGTGCTAAGAGCTTGGTGAATCCTAGGAACCAAAAGGAGGCCACTGTGGCTGGAGTGTGGTTCAGGATGAGATTGGAAAAGTAGCAGGGAAGGTCTAGAGTTTATCCTCAGTCTGTGGGAAGCCTTTGAAGGGTTTTACACTGGGGAGTAATGTGATTTGATATACTGGGTTGGCCAAAAAGTCTGTATGTTTTTTTCCGTAAAATAAAAGACACATTTTTCATTCTCACCACTGGCTTTATTGATTTGCATATATCAATAAAATCAATTCTTCCTGTGTAGTAGAATGTTAATTGCTCTCAATTAATGTCTCAAGTTGATCTCTATCAACTTCAACTGGTTTCCCCAACCAGGGACCATCATCTAGTAAGAAATTTCCAGCACAAAACTGTGAAAACCACTTTTAACACATTCAGTCAATCACAACACCTCCATACACTGCACAATTTTTTTTTGCATTTCTGTTGTGTTTTTAATCTTTATTGAAACAATAAAGCATAATATGCTGAAAAAAGGAAAAGGCAGAAAACTTTACTTGAACAATAGTTAAAAATAAATAAGTAAATATGCTGAAAATGTTGCATATTTTCTTCCATCTTCAATATTAAAATGTCTACACAAAAATTCACCAGTTTTGATGTGTTTTATTAAATGCACACTGATATGAGAGCTGTCACAATGCAGTCAACAAAATTGTTTCAAATGAAGTTAGAGACAACCAAGCTGCTAATAGAGCTATCCTATGGAGAAAACCCAATGAGCTCTTTGGGCAACTCAGTACAATTCTAGAAGGTTAGTGTGGCTATGGGAAGGTTAGTAGAGGCTAAGGGAAAGGGGGGACAATGAGGTAGAAGGCTGTTTCAGTCACACAGGTGAGAGGTGATGGTGGCCTGGACTGAAGTGGTAGCAGTGGAGAGCAGAGATGACACAGGGAAAGAGTCATGATCTCTTTCGGAGAAAAAAATTGAAAGGACTTAGGAATAAAATGGGTGTAGCAGTGAGAATATTTCAGTTCAAAAAATTATTACTTCTGTTAAAAGTATTTTTCCTAATGTACTGTTTAAAAATTGGCACTTAAGCCCTGGCTAGTGTCGCTCAGTAGATTGAGTGCTAGCCTGAGAACCAAAAGGTCACCCCAACCTGGGGTGTACAAGAGGCAACCTGTCAATGTATCTCTCGCACATTAATATTTCTCTCCCTCTCTTTGTCCCTCCCTTCTCCTCTCTCTAAAAATAAATAAATACAATATTTTTAAAAATATTGTATTTATTTACTTTTTTTTAGAGGTAGAGGAAGGGAAGGAGAAAGAGTGGAAGAGAAACATCAATGTGTGGTTGCCTCTCATGTGTCCCCTACAGGGAATCTGGCCTTCAACCCAGGCATGTGCCCTGACTGGGAATCAAACCAGCGACCCTATGCTTTATAGGCCTGTGCTCAATCCACTGAGCTACACCAACTAGGGCAATAAAATCTTTTAAAAAAATAAATAAAAACTGGTACTTAATATAAGGGAATTCAGTAACATTCAAATAATTACTTTGACACTTTTATAATGTAAATATATAATGTGAACAGCTTAGACTGTAATGGTTCTAATTAATTAGTATATTTATCAGAACTTCTTAAAAGACTATAAGTTAAGCCATACCAGAAAATCTATAGCCATATCTGTATCTTCGTGAGCATCTTTCTTTTATTTTGAGGTAGAATTTTCCCCATAATTGTCTGTAAAGTAAAAATTCTCATGCTCACTTCATGGAAACATATTTTTTATTTTCACTAATATCATTAAAATAGTTCACTTATTTCAGTGAAAAATAGAGGATTCATGAAATCTCCATACCTGTTGGATATTTTTATTGGTGTATGGTATAAGATACCACTTCCAGCGGAATTTCCTCTGCAGGTAGAAATTAAGGTAAAGAAAGAAGTACTAAGCCGTCCTTCTTTCTTCTCCTTCCCCAGTTTGGACGTCACAGACTCAACCCAGAAAACAGAACATTGGGGAGTCTTCGCAATGTTCTCTACCTTCTTCACCAGCGAGTAAGGTGAGCTTTGTAGGTGTTTCATGTTCTGTCCTCTTTCAACAGCCCCCTCTCTCGGGGGCAGTTGGATCTGTCTCACTTGCGCTACCGCCTTGACAGGGGCAGCCCAGAAACCTCTCCCTTGGATGCTGTGCTCAGACAGTTCTCATTTTAGGAGCTTGGTGCAGTATGACAGCACTTGTTAATAGCAGCTTTATGTGTAAGTCAGCAACTGGAAACATCTCAGGTGTTCATCATCAGGTGAATAGATACATAAATGCGGTATCTCTGTATAAGGGAATACTACTTAGAAATAGAAAAAGAAAAAGTTACTGATTCATGCAATAACATAGATGAATCTCAAAATAAGTATGCCAAGTGAAAGTCAGTCATAAAAGAATTCATACTTCATGATTCTCCTTACCGCATTTTGCCATGTGTAATGCACACCGATGTTTTTGTGCACATTTATATGTGGGATTATTCTACATATATGGAATCCTTATTTTTCCCTCAAAAATTTGGGCAAAAGAGTGCGTGTTATACACAGCAAAATACGGGTATATAAAAATTGAGAAAATGCAAATATCTGTAGTGACAGAAAGCACATCAGTGTTCACCTGGGGCCAAATGAGGAGAGACCGGGAATAGTTACAGAGGGACATGAGGCAGTTCTGGGGGGACAACAGATGTAGTCACTGTCCTGAATGTGGTGATGATTTTGTGAGTGTGTACCTCAGTAAAAACTCATCAGATTGAAATCATGTAAACTTCAGTAAAGCTATAAATACATGTATGTTTACTCTTTTTCTCTCTTCCCTCTCTCTTTTCCAAGAGGCGGTCACTGTTGACAGAGTATGTAAGGTATATACTTAGGGAGGACCCCCCAAAACAGAATTTATTTTTTTAATGTGTATTTATTTTTATGTGTTTAAACTTCAGTCACCTTCAAAATACGCCTCACTTGTTGCAATACACTATCGAGATGTTCTTTCCACTGCTCAAAACAGTTTTTTAACTCACTGATTTTGATACCTGTTAGTGCTTCTGCCATTTTTTGTTTCACCTCCTCATTGGCAAAACATTTTCCTTTAACAACTTTTTTCATCTAGGGAAACAAAGAAAGTTGCTCAGGGCGAGATTGGGTATATCGGGAGGCTGGGGCCCTGAGGTCATACAGGGGTTTTTGGTCAAAAGCTGCTGAACATTGTTGTGGGCAGGTATACTCATAAATCACCCATCATGAAACGGGCAAAGGCATTGAAAGAGTCTTAAAAGGAAAAGTTCACTGAAGTCGAATGCGGCCTCTCACAACAGTGTCATCTGGTACACTGATACAGATGGATTCCTAGAACACTCAACTAGTGGGGTAAGCCTGTAAACGAGGGGCCTGCCCTCGAGAAGATAATTCCAGTTTTTTGGTGGGTCCCCTTTGTATTTCCAGAAAATTATATAAAACCTGTATCTTGGGTACTAATTTTTATGTAAATGGGATCCTATGGTAATACTGTTTTGCAACTTGTCTTTATATAAACTTAGTATCACAAACAACCCTTCATATCAGTATCTATAAATTACCTTATTTTTTTAAGTATCTAACTTTTTATAGTGATTACTCAGTTTTCTGTTACATAATATATCATAATTTATTGACCAGTACACTTATTGATGGATAGTTTTTTTCCAGATTTTTAGCTTTACAAAAAACATTGATGAATGAATTGCTCATAAATTTAGCTTTATACACCTGAGTGATTATAACTGTAGAGAAAATTTCTTGAAGTGGAATTACCTGGTTAAAGAGTTTGAAAGACCTGGCTGGTGTAGCTCAGTGGATTGAATGCGGACTGTGAACCAAAAGGGTTGCTGGTTCAATTCCCATTCAGGGCACATGCGTGGGTTGTGGGCCAGGTCCCCAGTGTGGGGGCGTGTGAGAGGCAACCGCACATTTATGTTTCTCTTCCTCTTTTTCTCTCACCCTTCCTCTCTCTCTAAAGATAAATAAATAAAATCTTTTTAAAAAGAGTTTGAACATATTGAATTTTGATGAACAGCCAAATTTATCTTAAAAAGTCATACCAGTTTCCATCTCTACCAGTATTGTGGGAGTTAAGACCAATGTAGTTAGCAAGAACTTCAAGAAGGGAGTGTTAATAAGAAATCTATAGCATTATACAGTTTTCAAATCTAGTATGGTTTTTTTTGCATAGATTTTTTTTATTTTATTGATTATGCCATTACAGTTGTTCTATTCCCTCCCTTCATTCCCCTCCACCCTGCACCCCCTCCCCCTACCATTCCCCCCTTTAGTTTATGACCATGTGTCTCAAGTTCTTTAGATTCTATATTTCCCATACTATTCTTGCCCTCCCCCTATCTATTTTCTACCTACTGTCTATGCTGCTTATTTTCTGTACCTTCTCCCCCCTTCTCCTCCCACTCCTCTGTTGCTAACCCTCCATGAGATCTTCATTTCTATGGTTCTGCTCCTGATCTAGCTGTCCTCTTAGCTTGCTTTTGTTTTAGGTGTGGTTGTTAATAACTGAGTTTCCTGTCCTTTCACTGTTCATATTTTTTATCTTCTTTCTCTTAGATAAGGCCCTTTAACATTTCATACAATAAGGGCTTGGCGATGATGAACTCCTTGAATTCGATCTTATCTGAGAAGCACTTTATCTGCCCTTCCATTCTAAATGAAAGTTTTGCTGGATAGAGCAATCTTGGTTGTAGGTCTTTGGATTTCATGACTTGGAATACCTCTTTCCAGCCCCTTCTTGCCTATAAGGTCTCTTTTGAGAAATCTGCTGACAGTCTGATGGGGACTCCTTTGTAGGTGACTGTCCCCTTAGCTCCTGCTCTAGGATTCTCTCCTTCATTTTAATTTTGGCTAATGTAATGATGATGTGCCTTGGTGTGTTTCTTCTTGAGTCCAACTTCTTTGGGACTCTCTGAGCTTCCTGGATTTCCTGGAAGTCTATTTCCTTTGCCAGATTGGGGAAATTCTCCTTTATTATTTGTTCAAATAAGTTTTCCACTGGTGGCTGTTCCTTTCCCTCTTCTGGTACCCCTATAATTCGGCTGTTGGAGCGTTTAAAGGTGTCCTGGAGGTTCCTAAGTCTCTCCTCATTTTTTTGAATTCTTGTTTCTTCATTCTTTTCTGGTTGGTCATTTTTATCCTCCTTCTGGTCCACTCCTTTGATTTGAGTCCCAGTTTCCTTTCCATTACTATTGGTTTCCTGTGCATTTCATTTTCCTGTCCATTCATTTCAGTTAGTTTAGCCTTCATATGTTCCTCTAATTTGTGACTAAAATCAACCAGTTCTGTGAGCATCCTGATGACCAGTGTTTTGAACTGCATCTGAAAGTTTTGCTATTTCTTCATCACTTAGATTTATGGGCTCTGGGGCTTTGAGATCTTCTTGAGCCATTTTTGGTCTGTTTGCGCCCATTAAGTATGAGGAGCGGAGCCTTAGGGGCGGAGCAGGGCCTCCAGGGTGGGGTCACTGGGTTGTGACACTGTGTGTGGGGGCAGGGTCAGAGTGGGGAAATGGCGTCCCCCTCTCCTGCTTCCCGTCGCTGGGACCCGCTTGGTCCCGTCTCACTGCCCACTCCCTCGCCGGCCTATTTGCGCAGGAATGCGCCAGCACAGTCAACCTGCCGCCCTTCACCCTCACCAGATCCGCTGGTTGTTCACTGGGTCGCACTCACTAGGTCGCTCACTAGGTCGGCCCTTTGCAACCCCATGCCAGGGATCCGCACGCCTGAGTCTGACCTAGTTTTTCTGTTCAACCCGCTTCGCCAGCTGCTGGTTTCACCCCTCTTACCGGTCAGGCTGAAGCATTCGTTGTTATCAGACTTCTGAAAAGTTCAATTTTCTGTGTTCTGGCTGTGTTTTTTGTTGATAATATTTTATTGTCTCTAAACTTGGTTGTGCGAGAAAGCACAGCATCTCCACCTATGCCTCCATCTTGGTGGAAGTCTCTAGTATGTTTTTACATCTTTTTGCCTTGTTTGGTTCTCCCTCAGCCTTGTGAGTGTGGAAAGGGACTATATTTCCATTGTTGCAGGTTAGGATATAGGGTTAGAGAAAGAAAGTGACTTGCCCAACACCAGAGAGTTGGAAGCAGAGAAAGATATTTGACCTCAGAGGCTCAGTATGCACTCAAGAACTATTGGATGAATGAAGAGCATTCCATCTACAATGATGGAAATACCTTCACTGTCCAGTAGGGTTGCCACTAACCACATGCAGGTATTGAGCACTTGAAATATGGCAAGTACACCTGAGAGACTGAACTTTCAAATTTTAATTTAATGTAAAAAGGATTTTATTTATTTATTTACTTTTTAGACAGAGGGGAAGGGAGGGAGAAAGAGAGGGAAAGAAACATCAATGTGTGGCTGCCTCTCGTGTGCCTCTCACATTGGGGAACATGGCCTGCAACCCAGGCATGTGCCCTGACCTGGAATCCAACCAGTGATCCTTTGATTCACAGGCTGGCACAACTTCAGTCCCATAAGACTTCAGATGCCAATTGCAAGTCATAGTTCCCTGGATTATCCATAAACTTCTGTCTCACTTGACCACGTGCCGGAGGTTCCCAAGATCCTTTCCCCTTGAGATTTGATTCTTTGCTAGAGTGTCTCACAGATCTCAAGGAAATATGTGTGTTTATTAAAGTACATGATAATGCAGATGAACAGCCAGATGAGGAGGTACATAGGGTGAGGCCTGGGAGGGTTCTGAGCACAGGAGCTTCTGTGCCCTTGGAGTTGGGGTGCATTACCCATCTGGTACATGTGTTCATGTGTTCACCTACCTGGGAGCTCTTCAGACTCCCTACTGTTGGGTTTTATGGAGGCTTCATCATGTGGGCAGACCTATCAACTCCCTGTCTGGCTCTCTCCCCTCTCTGGAGGATGGGGGTGGGGCTGAAAATGCCAAGCCTCTAATCATGGCTTGGTCTTTCTGATGACCGCCCTCAACCATCAAGGAGCCCATCCAGGGGTCACCTCATTACAATAAAAGACACTGCAGTTACCCAGGATATTCCAAGGGATTTAGGAACTCTGTTGGGAATTGTGGTCAGAGACCAACTATTAGAACAAGAGATGCTCCCAGTGTTCTTACCACTCAAGTAATTACAAGGGTTTTGGGAGCTCTGTGCCAGGAATCAGAGACAGAGACCAATATATATCTTTTCTGTTTACCACAGCCGACCTCATGTTGAGAAACACTGAAGCGGACTTTCTTGGGGGCAACATAATTCATGTTAATTAATGAACTAGAAATATATGGGTCAAGACTTTTCATTCCTATTTATCACATGATTTGTCCCAAATAATAGATTTTCACACATAGCAAATGTATAAAATACAGAATAGCTTGCACATGGAGCACTTGATTAGCTGTACTGTCTGTGTTCATGCTGTATATAGTCCTAGAGGTGCTGATGAGCTGGCACATGAGACCAGTTCACTGTCGACAAATAGCTGTGGAGAAATCATTTACTCTGAACTCCTGGTTCCAAGCATTCTTCTCTGTGGTTGGAGGATTGGTACTAAAGGGATGGTCTCCACCTGGGAACTTACTAGAAATGCAAATTCTTTTTTTTTTAAATTTTTTTATTGATTATGCTGTTTCAGTTGTTCTATTCCCCCTTTCATTCCCTTCCATCCTACCCCCCCCATTCCCACCATTACCCCCCCTTTAGTTTATGTCCGTGTGTCTCAAGTTCTTTAGATTCTATATTTCCCATGCTATTCTTGCCCCCCCATCTATTTTCTATCTACTGTCTATGCTACTTATTTTCTGTACCTTCTCCCCCCTTCTCCTCCTCCCGCTCCCCTGTTGCTAACCCTCCTTGAGATCTTCATGTCTATGTTTCCACTCCTGATCTAGCTGTTCTTTCAGTTTGCTTTTATTTTAGGTGTGGTTGTTAATAACTGTGAGTTTGTTGTCCTTTCACTGTTCATGTTTCTTTAACTTCTTTTTCTTAGATAAGTCCCTTTAACATTTCATATAATAAGGGCTTGGTGATGATGAACTCCTTGAATTTAATCTTATCTGAGAAGCACTTTATCTGTCCTTCCATTCTAAATGAAAGTTTTGCTGGATAGAGCAATCATGGTTGTAGGTCTTTGGATTTCATGACTTGGAATACCTCTTTCCAGCCCCTTCTTGCCTGTAAGGTCTCTTTTGAGAAATCTGCTGACAGTCTGATGGGGACTTCTTTGTAGGTGACTGTCCCCTTAGCTCTTGCTGCTTCTAGGATTCTCTCCTTCATTTTAATCTTGGCTAATGTAATGATGATGTGCCTTGGTGTGTTCCTTCTTGGGTCCAACTTCTTTGGGACTCTCTGGGCTTCCTGGATTTCCTGGAAGTCTATTTCCCTTTGCCAGATTGGGGAAATTCTCCTTTATTATTTGTTCAAATAAGTTTTCCACTGGTGGCTGTTCCTTTCCCCTTTCTGGTACCCCTATAATTCGGATGTTGGAGCGTTTAAAGATGTCCTGAAGGTTCCTAAGACTCTCCTCATTTCTTTGAATTCTTGCTTCTTGACTCTTTTCTGTTTGGCCATTATTTGCTTTCTTCTGGTCCACTCCATTGATTTGAGTCCCAGTTTCCTTTTCATTGCTATTGCTGTCCTGTGCAATTCCATTCATTTCAATTAGTTTCGCCTTCATAAATTTGTCTAATTTGTGGCTATAATCAACCAGTTCTGTGAGGATCCTGATGACCAGTGTTTTAAACTGTGCATCTGAGAGTTTTGCTATTTCTTCATCGCTTAGATCTATGGGCTCTGGGGCTTTGAGATCTTCCTGCGCCATTTTTGATCTGTTCGCGCCCTTTAAGTGTGAGAAGCGGCGCCTTGGACTCCCAGGTCGTTGGGTTGTGACACTGTATGTGGGGGTGTGGTCAGAGCCGGGAAATGGCGGCACCCTCTGCTGTTTCTCACAGCTGGGTGATAAGCAGCGCCTTAGGTGGTTCCCCTGGGCCGGGCCACTCAGAGTCTCTGGGTTATGACGCTGTATGTGGAGGTGGGGTCAGAGCAGGGAAATGGCAGCGCCCTCCACTGCCGCTAGCCACGGGGACCCGCCGGGCCCCGGTCCAACCGCCCACTCCCCCACCTGTCCACCCGCGCACAAATGTGCGACCACAGTCAACACGCAGCACTGCTCCCCCGCTGGCTCCCCCTCGGTGGCTCGCCTGGTCGCTGGCTCGGTCTCTCACTAGGTCCAACCCTGCGCCTGGATTCTGCGCTTGAGTTCATCTGACCGAGACCTCCCGTGCAACCCTGCTTCACCAGCCGCTGGTTTCGCCCCTTACCGGTCAGGCTGAAGAATTTGTTGTTAACGAACTTCCAAAAAGTTCAATTTTCCGTGTTCTGGCTGTGTTTTCTGTTGCTAATATTTAGTTGTCTCTAAACTTGGTTGTGTGAGAAGGCACGGCACATCCACCTATGCCTCCATCTTGGCGGAAGTCCTAGAAATGCAAATTCTTGAGTCCCATCCCAGGCTTAGTAAATCAGAAACTCTGGGGATATGACCCAATAATCTGTGGCTTAACAAGCCCTTCAGGTGATTCTGATGTATGTTAAATCTGAGAACCATTGGGTTAGAAGATCAAATGTATAGGAAAACTGAAAAAGGGGTAGCTTTCATTTCTGTCACTTTGTCTAGTTTTGTTGAGGCTAAAATGATCCAAACCAGTTTGCAGATTTCTTATCATTTAAGGACTGTTAACGTTGAAGTAACTGAATTGAGAGAGTATTAAAGATCTAAAAGTTCTTAGTTAGATCTCAGATCTTGTCATTAAAATGGTTTTATGATCTTGCATCCTATCTGGGATAGTGTCAGCATTCCGATAATTAGTGGTGATTATAAAGACAAAGGATTGATGGCTCATGGACACTGAACTTGAATGAGTCTTCAAATACCTTTAAAGGTAATAAGTACTTTGACAGCAGAAGTCTGTTAACATCTAAAACTTCCATTGCTTGTTTTGATTCCAAAGGATAAACCTTTATGAAGTAGCTGTCAAAGTGGCCTGTTTCTTTTTTTTTTTTTAAGATTTTATTCATTTATTTTTAGAGAGAGGAAGATGGGAAGAGAGGGAAAGAAACATCAGTGAACAAGAGGAGAGGGGGAAAAAAATCCACTGGTTGCCTCTTGTGTGCCCCCAGCTGGGGACCCAGCGTGAAACCCAGGCGTGTGCCCTGACTGGGAGCGACCCACAGAGCCACACCAGCTGTGGCAGTGGCCTGTTTCTGTGGTGCAGGAGTTGACTTATATAAAGAAAGCCTTTAATGTTTTTCAAACTTCTTTCCTTTTAGGCGGTTTGGAGTAATGGGACTCTACAAAGGCCTTGAAGCCAAACTGCTGCAGACAGTCCTCACTGCTGCTCTCATGTTCCTTGTGTACGAGAAACTGACGGCTGCTACATTCACGGTTATGGGGCTGAAGAGTGCACACAAGCATTGAGACACCTTCCCCTACAGAGTGAGGAAAGGTGCTCAAGATGGGAGTTTCCTTCCATGAGAAGAGAAGTGATTTCTTTTTTTACTCTTGCTCTTTCTACCGTGAATGTTTACCCTCATTGGCTTCAAAAGCATTTAAGGGTAAACATGGAGTATAGCCAGCTGAACCTGTTTACCAACTTAATTTTTATGATGGTTGGTTGAATTTTCTGGGGAAGGTTGGACTAATGGTCATATGAAGAGACAGCATTATTGACAACCTAAAATTGTAAGTGTGTGTGTGTGGGGGGGGTAATTAGTTTTCCACAAGGAGAAAGGACTGTTGCTGTCACATGTAATCTTTCTCCTATTAAAGATCTTTCTTAAATTTACCAGCTGTTCTCTTTCCCTGAACCCTTCCGCAGGTTCTAGGACAAATTTAATACTATGAAATTCTCCTCATATACTTTTTATGTCTTAATCTTGGTATTTTCCTCACTAAAAATAATATTATGATTATGCTATGGGAGCATGGTTTTATTTTTGTTGGGCTTTGTCCCCCTGCTTAAAGAAAGGTGACATGAGCTATTTATTTGGGAAGAGAAATGAAAATTATTAATCCCATGTGATTCTCTTACAAACTCTTTGTAAACATTACTTATTCATTAGTATATGACAATTTTTAAATATTTATTTTGAATCAACTCTTTTATAACAGAAGGCTTGAAGTTTTATGTTCAGCCATAAAAGCCCCAATAAATTGTCAGCACTGAGGACATGCCCTTTATTAAGCTATTACATTGGGTTTTCAACTAGCTGGTAAAAGTCACCAAAAAAGGAGGAAGGAAGCAAATATCTTGTTTAGGCTCTGGAATATTATCTCCCTTTGCAAACTCTTGGAGGAAGCTGTATTTTTTGTTTGTTTTGTTTTTTTGTTTTTGTCAATGAACATCTGATTGAGGTTATTTCTGTTTGGGAACATTTCTTAAGAGTCCTGCTACTCAAGAGTGTGGTGCATCAAGCAGTAGCATAGGCATCATCTGAGAGTTGGTTGGACATGCGGTCCCAGATCTTTTGAATTATATTCTGCATTTTAACAAGATCTACAGGTGATCTATAATCGAAGTTTGAGCACCAGCTTGCAAACCAAAGGGTCGGTCGCTGGTTTGATTCCCAGTCAGGGCACATGCCTGGGTTACGAGCCAAGTGGTGTCCCCAGGAGGGGGCACGCAAGAGGCAACCACACATTCATGTTTCTCTCCCTCTCTCCTTTTCTTCCCCCCTCTCTAAAAATAAATAAATGAAGTCTTTAAAAATAAAATAAATAAAGTTTGAGAGACCTTAGCGCACCTGACCCAACAGAAAATAGAATTGTTTTCAATTATAGAAACCAAGACAAAGATTTTTCTCAAAGGAAAGATGGACTAATGTATTAAAACAACCTCTGAAAAAACCTAGAGTCCTATGTCATCATTTACTTTTCCTTTCAGCATGGGTGGTAGAACTTGTACTGTGTAGCTAGGAGTGAATTTAGGCATCTGAAGCTACTCAAGAAGCAAACTCTTGACATTAGTAGAATAATAGCATGTTAGGTTCCTATGAATTGTGTTTTGTCCCTATAACAAAATGACAAGTTTTTTATTTATAAATACAATGCAGTCAGAGCCAGAGAACAATTATAACATGTCTGAACTCTGGTACTTAATTCTGTTGGAGAGTAGAAATTTCTTTCTCTTATTTTCTCTCTGGCCACTGTGATAATTTCAAAATATGTGATTATCAAACTGGTAATAATTGAAAGATCATTGTTTTGTTCCAGAAAACAAGAACTAGGAAGAGCTGATAATCTGGGGACTAGACTGAATACTGGTTTTCTATTTAAGACAGGATGGTAGGCAGAATTGGCCCGTTACTGCTTTAGTTTTACTTTAAGTTTTGTGAGTGTCTGTGGTGGAGCTTGGGTGGGAAGCACAAAACTGATTTTGATTTTTATACAGGAGAAGAATGATCATAAAAGTGTTATGTGTACTTTTGTTTTTGTATTAATTACACAGTTTGCTTTGGAACTTGAGTTTTGAGCTCAGAATATTGTGGACTGATATGTTAGAATATTTTCCAGGTCAAATTATATAATATTAAGTGTTCATGATGTGAAAATGTATTTGATGCTTTGTTCTGATTTTGTGAGGGAACAATTTAATATTGAGGTTTTGTGTTCCCTGTGGAAGCTAATAGACTCACTAATTGAAACTAGATAATGACTCACCCAGTTTTATAGCCTTTGATTAATAAGTTGAGAAAACTAAAGAGTTGAGAAATTGAAATTTTGCTCTTTGATTCCTTATACAGTTCCTCTAGAATGTGATGATTAAGACCCTTAGAGATTATATTAGTGTTGCTGCAGTAGGAAATTTAATTTAAGTATTTAATCTGTGTTTTGAAGTGGACACTAATATTTTAACCCATGTCAATTTTACAATGAAATTTGAAACACAGAAACAGGGTTTACCATAAGAGCATAAGCAGGGGGAGTTAGAATCTTTGGGTTTATTCCCAGCTCAGCCACTGACTAGCAAATTACATCATTTCCTTGTGCTTCAGCTTTTAATAAGTGGAGATAATAATAGCACCCACTTCAGAGGTTGTTTGAGAGCTAATGATGTCAGTTAAATCCCTTCATGATCGTGGAAGAGGGAAGATTTGAGTGAAACTTGTGACGGTGTCTAGATTTATACAGCAATTTTCCTTCTTAAAAGCTTACACACATTCTCATTTGTAATCCCAATATTTCTGTGAAATAGGTAAGGACAAGCAACAATAACCCCATGTAATTAACAAGGAAACTGAGATAGAACTCAGTTCATTTTATCAAATGACTTGCCTGTTGGAGCCAGGAGTAGAGTGAATTTCCTGCAGTCAAATGTAGTGACTAAAAGAATGGGTTCAGTTATTAGACCTAGTTTCTGCTCTGGTCCTATTTCTTACCAGCTGTGGGAACAAAGCAATTACTGAACTTGTATAAAACTCAGTTTCCTCAGCTATGAAATGGAGATCTTGATGAAACTACCTCACAGTGTGATTATGAGGATTAAATAAGATTATATGCCCAAATTGTTTAGCACAGTGCTTGCCATATGAGAAGAGCTAGATCAAGTAGCAGTGACTATTGTCATATTATGGATGAGGGATATGGCTATTTGGGTAGACATGGTTCAGTGGAACGCACTCTGCATTTTGAGCCAGACCTGGAATCAGATTTTCATTCTATCACTTAATAGCACCACAGCACAGATAAGTCACTTCTTTACCTTTCTGAGTCCATGCCCTTATCTGTCCAATAGCAATGCTGTTATATGTATAAATCTTTATCCTCAGAACAGCCTTGTAAGGTGGTCATTTCTATGGGACATATGAGGATATATGTATGTGTGTGTGTGTGTGTGTGTGTGTGTACCTGTGCATGTGGCACAGTGCATGGCATATAGATTTAATAAATGCTGGTTTTCTTCATTGAGATATAATTGATACCTAATATATTAGTTTCAAGCGTACAACATAATGATTCAATATATACATATTGCAGAACAATCACCACAATAAGTCTAGTTAAAACCTATCACTAAAGTACCCATCAGATAATACTGTTTGAACCAAGAAAATCAACCAGGTTTTACTTGGGGGCAGCATTTTCTCTTTTCATTTTTTATTGTGAACATTTCTGATTGCCTTTCAGCATATCTCCTCAAAAGAGAAGCCAGCCCTGGCTGGGAGGCTCAGTTGATTAGAGCATCATCCCAATATGCCAGGGTTGTGGGTTCAATCCCCGGTCAGGACACATACAAGAATCAGCCAGTGAGTACCTCAATGAGTGGAACAACAAATCGATGTTTCTGTCTCTCTCCCTCTCTCTCAAATCAATCAATACAAAAAAATGTTGAAGAAGAGAAAGAGAAGTCAGCCCTAGCCTCCATGGCTCAGTTGGTTGAGTGTTGTCCCAGTCAGGATGCATGACCGGGTTGCAGGTTCAATCCCTGGTTGGGGTATGTTGTGGGGGGGCAGGCAGGGGTTGCTGCTGCTTGGTGTTTCTTTCTCTAATCAGTGTTTTTCTCTCTCTCCCTTCCCCTCTCTCTGAAATCAGTGAGCATATCTTCAGGTAGGATTTTAAAAAAAAGAAGCCAAATTCAGTATTTATATTAAGTCGCTCAACATTGATCAGTTAATCAGTAAAATGCAACTGGTTCAACAGCAGAAAGTCATGGGCAGAGCTGGTGTCTATCTTGGCTCTCAAAAAGCTGAAGAGTAGTGACTTCATGGAGCCAAATGCCAGACGTCTAAGGAGAGCCCTCCCTCTGGACACCTGAATTACTTACCTGGCAGTGTTGATTGTCACCAAAATACCAAATATATATGAAGACTCATTCATAGGCTATTGACGAATATAATAAATACAACCGATTATGACCCTATAGGGTTTTTACCACCATAGAAATGAAAGGGCTTTGGGTTAAAGCTGATCTTTGTGGGGCATAACCAGTAGCCCCTGAAAAGAATGTTCAGTGGGACATCATGGGCTGGTGAGAGAAGAAAAGAAAGAAGATTACTCTTTAAAGACAGAAAGTAAACAGGAAATTAGATGACTATGAGGATCGGGGAGGGACGGACAAAGCACCAGCACCTTGTCCAATATCACTGATAAGTCCTGCTAGGGCGCAGGACTTCAAGAAGACAAGCTCAAAAAACATGTGATAGGTACATAGGCTGGTGCCCTAGATGCCAAGTTCTTTCAGGGCAGGAAGTGAGCCAAGTGATGAGTGTCTCACTCATTGTATCAGTGTTTTTGGCTTAAACAGTGCTGACCTTTCTCCAGTCAAATCGCTGTGTTAATTAAGATTTTACATGTTTTTAGAATTCTTGAACTCTGGCGTTTTCTTGGTGATGATGAGTTTTTCACATTTTTTTAAAGATTAATTCTCATTGCTTTGAAATATATTTTATTTTGGTAGTTACCTGGCTTTTTTTAACCTTTAAAGGTTTTATTTTATTTTATTTTTTTTTGCTTTAATTGGAGTCACCGAAATTATCTACCTCAGTGGTATTGCTTGTCTAATTCTTAGGATTGTACATCATTCTTGTTTTGCTTTAGTTTCTTGGGAACCCATTGGCAGAGTAGATGGGCAGCCAAATAGGTGATTCCCTATATGTGGGTGTTGTATGGAGGACCACATACAATTGTAAATTTATATTCTAGGACTAATATTCTATTTATTTATTTACTCACTCAAGAAATCATTTTTCAGTACTTACTACTGTGCCAACTGCTGGGATTATCCAAAAGAATAATACTTAGTCTCTGCCCTCAGATAGCTCAGTGTTCAGCATGGGAGTCAGACAA